TAAGATACAGTTCAATGACAACAAGGATTCCTGTGTTGCTTTTATAGTTCTCACCCCTACCCCTGCCATCCCTGACTCCTGGAAACCATTAATCTTCTCCATTTCTAAAATTTTATCATTTCAAATATGTCATATAAATGGAATCAAATAGTATATAATCTTTTGTGATTTTTTTTTTTAACTCAGCATAATTCCCTGGAGATTCATTCAGGTTGTTGCACGTATCAATTGTTTATTCCTTTTTACAGTTTGGTATTTCTGAGTAGTATTCTGTGGTATGAATATATCACAGTTTACTCGATCAGTCACCCACTGAAGGGCATTTAGGTTGTTTCCAGTTTGGGGATATTGTGAATAAAGCTGCTATGAACATTCATGTACAAGTTTTTGTGCGAACTTAAATTTTCATTTTTCTAGGATAAATGCCCAATAGTGCAATTGCTGGGTTTTATGGCAGCTGCATTTTTAGTTTAAAAGAAACTACCAAACTGTTTTCCAGAGTGTTGTACTATTTTACATTTCCCACCAGCAATGTATGAGCTATCTAGTTTCTCCACATCCTTACTAGTATTTAGTGCTGTCGCTATTTTTTATTTTAGCCATCCTGACAGATGTGTAGTGATGCAAATGTTGTGGAACATCTTTTCATGTGCTTATCTGCTATCTGAATACCCTCTTTGGTGAAATGTTTCTTCTTTCTTTTGCCCATTTCCTAATTAGACTGTTTTTCACTTTTGACTTTTGAGAGTTCTTTATATATTCTAGATACAAGTCCTTTGTTGGATATGTGGCTTGCAAATATTCTCTCCCTGTCAGTAGTTTGTCTTTTGACCCTCATAACAGGGTCTGTTGCAGAACAAAAGTTTTTAATTTTGATGAGATCCAATTTATCATTTTTTTCCTTTTCTAAATTGTGCTTTTGGTGTCTAATCTAAGAATTCTTTGCCTAGTCCTAGATCTGGACGATTTTCTATGTTTTTTTTTTTTTTTTAATAAATATTTTGGGTTTTTGGTGAAAGTTTACATGGCAAATTAGGTTCTCAACAATTTCTATACATATTGTTTAGTGACACTGGTTACATTTTCTACATTGTGTCAACATTCTTCATGTTTCCATTCTGGTTGTTCTGCTTCCATTAATCCAGCTTCCCTACCCTCCCTGACCTTCTCATCTATGCTTTAGGGTAAATGTTGACCATTTGATCTCATATAGATGATTTTTTTTTTTTTTGAAGCAGCACAGGGCTCACGGGTGATATTATTTTATGAGCCAATCTATTATTTGGCTGAAAGGTGACCTTCGGTAATAGCTTCAGTTCAAAGTTTGAAGGGTATTGCAGGGCGATAGTCTTGGGTTTCCTGAGTCTCTACCAGTTCAGTGAGTCTTTTTTTAAAATAAGAATTAGAGTTTTGTTCTACAATTTTCTCCATTCTATCCGGGACCACCTATTGTGTCAAAATGGTCAGTGGTGGTAGCTGGGCACCATCTAGTTCTTCTGGTCTCAGGATAGATGTGGCTGTGGTTTGTGGAGGCAATTAGTCCTGTAGACTATATTCTTCTTTGAGTCTTTGGTTTCCTTCTTTCTCTTTTGCTCCAGACAAGTAGAGCCCAACAGCTGTATATTTTTATGCAAATAACACATGCCTTCTGTTTGCCAACTGCGTCTTTCCCAACGAGATATTTTCCTAGGCATGCTATGCTAATTTTTTTACAGCAACATGTAAAAAAATTGACATAGTAGCGCTTATGAAAATACCTAGGGGAGGGAAGCGTGGCTGTCAAACAAACAATGCATGTTATTTGTGTAAAAATATGGTGTGTATATATATATCAAGATGATATACACTTATCAAGAAGACATGACAATTATAAATATTTCTGCACCCAATGCCAAGGCTCCAAAATTTATAATAAAAAAAACTCTAACAGAATTGAGGAGAGAAGTAGACCCACAATAATAGTAGGAGATTTTAACACAACACTTTTGACGACAGACAGAACAACTAGAAAGACAATCAACAAAGATACAGAAGACCTAAACAACCAACTGGACCTCAGAGATATATATAGGACACACCCCCTGACAGCAGAATAATACACATTCTTCTCTAATGCCTATGGAACATTTCAGAATACACTAATCTTAGGCCACAAATCAAGCCTCAATAAATCTTAAAAGACTGAAATTATACAAAGCATCTTCTCTGACCATAGGAGGAAGAACAAGGGAAATAAATTAAATACATGGAAACTAAATAACACATTACTAAAAAACTATTGGGCCATAGAAGAAATCTGTTTTTTTCTAAAAGTTTTGTTTTACTTCTAAGCCCATTATTCATTTTGAATAATTTTTGTATAAGGTGTGAGGTTTATGTTAAGGTTCTTTTTTTTTGCCTATGGATGTCCAGTTGTTCTAGCATCATTTGTTGAAAAGGCTACGCTTCCTTCATTGAAGTGCTTTTGTACCTTTGTCAAAAATCAGTTGGACATTTTTTTGTCAGTCTATTTATGGGTTCTCTATACTGTTCCATTGATCTATGTGTGCATCTCTCCACCAATACCACTGTTTTGATTACTGTAGCTATATAGTAAACCTTAATATTGAGTACAGCAATTCTTCCCAGTTTATTCTTTTTTCAGATTGATTTAGCATTATAGGGCCTATGCCTTTCCATATAAATGGTGGTGCAACAGTTAAGCTCTTGAACAAAAGGCTGGTGGTGATTTGAACCCACTCAGCGGCTCCACAGGGAAAAGACTTGGTGATTTGCTCCAGTGAAGATTACAGCCTAGAAAACCCTATGGGGCAGCTCTACTCTGTCACATGGAGTCACTATGAGTCCAAATTGACTCGACAACACCTAAAAACTGTCTATGAAAACCTTGCTGGGATTTTCCTAGGAACTGCATGAAATAGACAGACCAATCTGGGGAGAACTGACATCTTTACTATGTCAAGTCTTCCAATCCTGTATGTCTATTTACTTAGGTCTTCTTTGATTTCTTTCATCATTCTTTAATTTTCAGAATATAGATCCTGTACATGTTTTGTTAGAAACAGCCCAGATGGCACAATGGTTAAGTGCTCAGCTGCTAACCAAAAGGTGAGTGGTTCAAACCCACCAGCCACTCTTCAGGAGAAAAGAGCTGGTGATCTGCTCCCGTAAAGATTACAGTTTAGGAAACCTTATGGGGTAGTTCTACTATATCATATAGGGTCGCTATGAGTCAGAATTGACTTGATGGCACTCAACAACGACATGTTTTGTTAGATTTATGCTTAAGTATTTAATTTTCTTTAGAACAACTGTAAATGATATTGTATTTTAAATTTTTATGCATTCACTGTTAACACATGGAAACATGACTGATTTTTGTGTGTTGATCTTGCATCCTATAATCTTGCTGAACTTTTTCTCTGGTAGATTCTTTAGGTTTTTCTACATTAAAAAATCTGTCATTTGCAAATAATAATAATTACAAAAACCTGTTGCCTTTAAGTCGATTCTGACTCAAACTGACCTTACAGGACAGAGTCGAGCTGTCCCACAGAGTTTTCAAGGCTGTAAATCTTTATGGAAGCAGAAAGCCACATCTTTCTCCCAAGGAGCGGCTGGTAGGTTTGAACTGCTGACCTTTAGGTTAGCAGGTGAGCACTTAACCACTGTGACACCAGGGCTCCTAACATTTGCAAAGGGAGATTTTTATTTCCTCCTTTCCAACTGTATCTTTTATTTCACACTACAGGTTTTCAACCAACTGCCCCAAAGCTGATCTTTTGATCATTCTTTTGAGTAGTTTCCTTTTACTTTTAAAGTTTCTGATACTACTGGATTCTCTTAAGACCACAAAAAAAAAGGTAAGAGCAGTTGCCCTGTGATTATTCTCTGAACAACAGGAAATAATTTTGATTAGGTAAAGGCACCAATATTTAAACTAAGACTGGTTATACTTAATTGTTTTTGTTTTTTTTTTACTTCCTGACAAGGACTTACGTATAATTTTAGCAAATGAACAACTTAAAAACTTAAGTCATAAATTGAAATTAAATATGTGGCTGATATATACTCTGTTGTTTAAACTGACCAGCTCATCAGTTACAAAAACAAGCATTCTGAAGATTACGTTAAGCAGGCTTTATATTTCCTATAGCCTCCAGTTCCAGACTACATCTGTTTTCTTTGATACACAAAACCAGAGTTAAAATAGCTCCATTTATCACAGCATGATTGTAGGCAGACAAACCAGCCTGTCTGTTTCCAGATAGCGAAAGCAACTGTTATTAATCACAATTACAGGCCAAACACTCTAAGAGAAATTGCATCAATATTCTCCCAACCCCCAGCCCTTCTACTCTGGCACTCAAAAATGGTACTGAGAGTACCACGATGCTGTCTGAAGGTCAGTAAATAAAGATGCTTCTATGAGGTCAACTGGAGTTTTAAGTTCTGGATGCAAATTAAGAAAAACATTTTCTATAGACAAAAAGAAGTAATCTCTCAAAAGCTCTAGTATTGAATATGTTTGGCAGAACAATTAAACCCACTCTCTATTTAAAGTTTATATTGAAAAGGTTTCTCCTTTATGAAACTACACTGAATAGCAGAGCAGGCATTTGAAATACACAAATGAGATAATTATCTTTATGTAAACAAGCATTTACAAAAATACACGTTTTTCTGTAGCATATTTTATAGCCAATAGTGTGAAGGGAATGTCTTTCTCTTTCATACACATTGTAAGAGACTTTCCTAAAGAGTGAGATCAACTGCAGGTTATAGAGGACAACATGTTAGACTATGGTTGAATCACATCCTTTGAATGTCTGGGTCTTTTTCAAATAAATTGCAACCATTTCTTCAATGGTTAGGGCAAGGGTTTAAGACTACAAACTAGTTTGAGTTCCATTTGGTGCCGTCTCTTGCTATTAACAACAATAAAATCTACTGCTGTTTTGTTTGTTTTTTAATTTTTAATATACTTTATTCTTTAAAACAGTTTTAGGTTTACAGAAAAATTAAGGAGAAAGTACAGAGTTCCCATATACTCCCTGTCTGTGCTGCACAGTTTCTCCTATTATTAACTATTAATTACACTCGCATTCGTGTGGTACTTTTGAAAGCTACTGTGTCTTAAGCACCTATTATATGCAAGGTGTTTTAGATGCTTCACATATATTATCACATTTAAATCTTACAATAAATTGATGAGGTAAGTACTATTATTCTGTTCTGCAGATGAGGACACTGCAGCTCAGGGAGGTTATTTCCCTAAGGTCACACAGCTAGTTAAAAGCAAGGCCAGGGTTCAAATGTAGATGTGATTCTAAACACTATGTGTTTAGAAGCTTCTCAAACTAATACAGTGAAACCTGTGAGAACCGGAATTCAACAGGGCTGCCTTTTTTTTCCGGGTCTTGCGAGTTTTCCACCGTTTACAGCATGCAGTCTTACACTTTTCTGTTGCTCTCTATTAGTGGACAATATTTGAGTTTTCCTTCTCTGACAAGTTTCTGCCTTACATAGGTTCCGGCTTTCACAGATTTTATTGTATTTGTTTCAAGACAAAGTTTGAATAGAATCTTGCATGTACAATGCATTTAGGAAAGAATACTAAAATGGCTAGTGTTAGGAACTGTAGAGAAATGTACATTATTTTACCCTACTTTTCCAGTAAATAATTGACTCTGCTAATAAACTTACCCGGAAATATTACAGCATAACTGAGTCTTTCTATGATTAAGAAGGCCTATACGTTCAAACAAGGGCTGGTTACTAAACATGTGAAGCTGAATTACCACTGACATTATTGTCGTTCCAATATGAAAGATTCAGAATTGTTTGAGAATTGTGCAACTGCTTCAAATTCTGTGAGCACTTGGGCATGCACTCATCCACTCACTTAACATATTCACTGAGCATCTACTATGTGCCAGTTGCTGTTCTAGGGACTAGGGGTGCAATGATGAACAAGATAAAGTCACTAACCTCATCTGACTTAATTCAAATGAGAAACACAGAAACTACTCAAGAGAACAGGAAAGAAACCTCTAAGAAGGTGACATTTTTATCCAAGACTTAAGTGATGGGAAAGTGAGTCATACAAAGATCTGAGGGAGAACAAGAGAAAGAACATTAGAAAAAGAGGGAACGAACAGCAAAGGTCTTGAAGGGGAAAAGGGCTTAGTATGTCTGATGGAATAGCTTGAAGGCCAATACTGCTAGAGGGAAAAAGTAATAACAGATGAGGACGGGGAGACAGGCAAATCATGTGCATCCTTGAAGGCCCAGATAAGGAGTTCGGATTTTACTCTGAATGTGAGGAGAAATCACTGATCTTTTTTTAAAGATTACTCTGGCAGCAAGAGAAATAACAGCAGGGGAGCAAGAGTGGAAGCAAACAGACCAGATAGGCAGCTAAGGCAACAGTCCCAGCAGGAGAAGGTAGTGATTGGAACCAGGGTGGTGGTGGTGGAGGTGATGTATTTGGGAGTTCTCAGCATATAGATGGTACAGACAGTATTTTAAGTCACAGGACTGGAGATAATTACTGAGCGGGGTGAGTGCTTATAGAGGAATGAAGGTGGCTGAGGCTGAGCCCTCCAACATTTAGGAAGTGGTCAAGCCAGTATAGGGAATGCATCTTCATTTTATCAGCACATGTGAAATATATTTTATATTCAGACTTAACCTAGTTTCCTTTTCTAAGCAAGAAAGGAAACCAGATAGTTTAGAATTTGTTTCCACATGGTTATATTTTGACCACATAAAATATAAAAATATGAGAATAAGATAGAAATAAGATTTATATTTAAATGAGGCAGAACTTTTGAAGTTACTATATGATCAAATCTTGCTACATTCAACTTCAAGCCAATAATTTATAAAAATAGATTATTTCATCAAACTTGGGAGTCTTCAACAAATAATGGTCTATGAGCCTAGAACCTGAAAATGTACATAAATTATACAAGGAGTTTTACTGTTATATAATCTGACCTGCATTTGTTTTATTGCATGATACTGTCAACATTTTGGGAGCCTATAATCAGGAAATATAAAACCACCAGAAAGTAAAACTGACTGCTGAGTGAGAATTGAGAAAACAATGAAATCTCTATGATAAGGAAATTAAATTTTCATCATTTAACACCTAAAGTAAGACAAGTAATTGACTTAGACAAACTCAGAATTAAAGAAAAAGAGGTTTTATATTATAAAAGAAAAATAGTAATGCTTAGCGTTTTTTTCATTTGCTAAAACATTGCATATTTAAAAAATTATGTGTCTTTTTTCAAAGGCTGTTAATCTTTTTAGATTTTGCCCATTTCATACACTTCAGGCTTGTAAGGAAGAAGTCAGCAATGGATATGGAGGCAGAAGGAATTTTCTAATTTAAATTCTGGCACTCACAACTATTGCTGATACTTTTGGGTAAGTTACTGTACCACTCAGAGTTGTAGGGTCTTCATACAAAGAAAAGGAATAAAATAAGATCTACTCCACAGCATGTTAAACAGGATTAAAGATTAAGTTATGTAGAGTACCTAGCAAATATAACAGCTTTATAAATGTTAATTCCTTTCCCTTACTCCATCTCCCTTTTCACTGTTTCAACTCTATAGCATTTACATGTTTATTAAAGTCACCTTTTGAATGATTTTTGAAGAAAAGGCTAGACTTTTACGTTGAACAAAGTGGTGAGGATATCATAAGCTCACCAGTTTTGATCAGTAGCATTTTGAAACCAAAAAAACCAAACCCAATCTGCTGCCATCAAGCCGATTCCAACTCACAGAGGCCCTACATGACAGAGTAGAACTGCCCCCCTAGGGTTCCCAAGAAGTGGCTGGTGGATTTGAACTGTCGAGCTTTTTGGTTAGCAACCGAACTCTTAACCACTGTGGCACCAGGGCTCCAACATTTTGAAATACTATATTTTAATCTACTAGACTATAAGGTCCTTCAGGAGTAAATACTGCCATTCTTTGAAACTCTATCGTCTACAGGGCCGGTAATATTTATAATATGGAAAATAGACTATACAACAATATTAAAAAGCATTAACTTCATATCAACAATATCACAGGAAGCTATTTACATTATTTGCTTTGGGATCTAAAATTGAATAAACATGGCATCACAGGTAAATTAAGATTTATATTTTGCAACTACTGATTTTTATTAACTTCTATTTGTGTATATTGATTAATTCAATTGACTAATATCATAGCTTTCACAAATACAATGCAAATTTTAAATAAATTTATACTAGGGTTGTTTAACTCTTTGTTATGTAAATTTGTATGTATTTTCTTCTTTTTCCGTAACAGCAGCTTAACAGATACATTATTTCAAGTATGTCTATGTACCTTCTGTTCGTGCCTGCCAAAGTGCTCTCAGTGTCTGGGGTATATCTGAATAAGTAATATCAACAGTTCTGCCATATTAGACTTTCAGCATCTCAGATTATGGACATTTATTACTGGAGGGACTTGAATATCCTCATAGTTCCTAAAGGGATAAAGCATCATTGGCATGAAAAAAAACTGTTGGTTGAACTTTCCTCTGCAATGCTGCAGGTCATTCTCATCTCCAAATTCTATAGAATTTTTTGTCCCTGTAAAGTTTGAGTAAACTGAGAACATCATCCCACAATTAAATAAATATCGAACATCCAATTATCTAAATGACAACTGAGCCTCTATTCCTCCTGTATGTACAATTCATCTGTTCTAAGCCTCCTGCAGAATCACATCTCTTCATATTTACCACTACAAACACGGAACCAATATTTCCTGATCTTAAAGAAAAAAATGCATTGTTGGTGGCTGCGCTGTACCAAAAGGCAAAATTTTTGGTCACTGAAAAGAACTTTTAATTTTTCTTCAAGTAACTATTATGGCTAAAGCACTTTGCTCCCTCCTACCATGCAATCAATTTGGAATGAAGAACATATCGATATTTTATGATATTTGTTTAAAGTTTCTCACATATCAATATAGTGGCCTTCTGAAAATAGAACATATAAAGAGATTTTAAATAATGTATATGGCTTTCTGAACACTTTAAAGGAAAGTGCTAAAATCTAAGTATGAACTACCTCATGTCTAAAATTCCACAAATTAGGTTTAGACTTTTAGATTAATCAGAAGCTTTTAATTCTATTTGAGAGGTTTCTAATATCCATTTTCTTCCCTTCTTCATTTTTGCCATTCTAGCATTCAGTAGTACCATTATCAGAGGACAATAAAGATGAAAAGGAGGGAAAGAACAAATTTATTCACTTTAATACTTATGAGTCAGCTAAGTTAAAAATTCATTTGTAGGGGTTAACAAAAAAATATGGTGGTAGCAAAAGATTAAATTTTTACAGTGAGACTGGGAACTATTTCATTCATCCACATCAGTAACCTTCTCCAGGCTAGCAACAATCATATTATATGGACACAGACCCAGTATAGTCTACTCCTTTTTCCACAAAAAATCTTTCATTCATTCTGCACACATGTACTGAGGGCTGACTGGGCCCAAACATTGTTCTAGGTGCTAGGTATATACCAACAAACAAAATAAAAATCTCTGTCCTTATGGAGCTCACTTTCCAGTAGGAAGGGGTGGATAATTAAAAAAAAAAAAAAAAAAAAAGATATATAACATGTTACCTAATAAATGTTATGAAGAAAACTAAAGCAGGAAAAGAAGAATATGGAGAGTTCGGGGCGAGAGTAGAAGTTGAATTTTTAAACTGGGTAGTCATTTATCCTCATGCTTCTCTCTAAAAAAATGCAATTAAAAATCTATATATTTCTATTTTTCTAAATATCAAGTTATATTAAGAGGGATACAGTAAGAACAAATTTCCATTATAACCTCAAAAATTAAAATTTTAATGACAGAAGGGCCGTTGCTTAACTTTTAAGAAAGACTGCCTTGTACTACTTTTAAAAGCTGACTAGTAAACACAGGTAGATATATCATGATAATTTTTATTGGTAATGTGATAAATTCTCTGGTAAAATTTGACACTTCACAATGATCACCAAGTAATAACAAAACAGCATTAAAATCTTGAAATTTTTTCATATCCTCTCTTACTTAGTTTGCTGAGTTTTGGGTGGGGAGAACAAACTGCTCTTCAATATACAGTACAACTGATGTCCAGCTACATTCCAATAGTGGCTAAAAAACATTTATGTAGGTTTTTTTTCTTCCCTTTAAAAACTTTTGCTGTAACAGTCAAATACTTCCCAGGCAAGCTAAGATATTCCTTTGGTAAGCCAAGGTCCCTGAGAACTCAGAAGGCTGGCTAGGTTCTGTGTCTAGGCAGACTTGTCAAATCAAACTTCTGTTGGTTACTACCTCAACCTAGACTACCTTAGTAACTGCTGTTTTAAGACAGAAAAACTTTAAAGAAATCTCAAGTACTCTCAAATCATTCATATTATGATTTTTTTCCCCAGCACTGTACCGAACCAAGAATTTTTAAAAGAAGGAATACTAGAAATTCTACCCCTAAAAAAAGAATACCTCCATGGTGATGTGACAGGCTCCCTCCATTAGCGAGGATTTCTTCTCTAGCAGCTGCCTGTATTTGGAAACAACACAACAAACAATTGCTGGATTTCATTCTGGAGTGAAAGAGTAAAAGAGGCACATCTTCCTTGATTAAATAATAAACTAGCAGCCTGTTTTTCCCCTCTTAGGTTAACTGTGTTTAAAAAGCAATTAAAATGCACAGTCTAACTTTATAAGTTTTTTTTCTAGTGAATAGTCACAATGTCTACAAAGATCACTTTAAAATTCTGGGGGAAAAAAAGGTGGCAAAATGATACGAGCATCAGATCACCAGCAGCACTAAATTGTAAAAAAATAAAAAATATCTGTGAATGTGGAGTAAACTTCTCACTATACCAACAAGTATTAGTGATTAACATTTATTAACTGCTTAATGTATGCCCAGAAGAGTGCCAAGCAATTTGCCTACAGCATCTCATTTCTCCTCACTACAATCTTTTGGAATAATTAAAATTACTTCCATTTCACAGACAAGGAAAATGAAGCTGAGGTAGGTTAAAGTATTCACCCAAGATCATACAGTGGGCATCAGAGTCAGGTTTACTTACAAAGCTATAAGGGATCAACCATAAAAACCCTTATGCAGAATATGTCTTAGGCCAATGCCTTGGGACAAATTACTTGTCAGTCCTGTATATAATAGCCATGAGGTGAAATATCTAAAGTGCCTGAACCACTCAGAATTACTTAGGTGTGTAAAAACCATCAGGAGTTAGGCCAGGGCAGGAGAGGGCCCAGGTGGGACACAAGCACCACATCTCATTGCAAAGTAATCTGTAAGAACCCTCATCATTTAGGATATAGGGTTTTCAAATGAGTCATGAATAAGCTAGTCACTGCTCTAAGAGACTATGTAACAAAATATTTTAAATAATCATAGCAATAACTACTTGAGGTCAGAAGCACCTAGAGAATGACAGTTTGGACTGAAAAAGAGGGAATAATTTCACTCTCACGGTACTGAAGGAAAGGGGCTTTTGGGTAGCCAGGGTACAGCACCGAAGCACTGAAAGGCTACAGTGATGGGAAAATACTCAAACTTTTGGGGGTAATGGATATGTTCACTATTTTGACTGGTGTGATGGTTTTCAAGGTTATACACATATGTCAAAACTCGTCAAATTGTATACTTTAAAATCATGAAATTCACTGTATTTCAATTATACCTCAGAAAAAGCTGTAAAATGGTGGGGAAGGAATAGAAGGGGGCCAAACTCTGTGTATACTTTAGGTCTAAAAGTATGCCACTGAAAACCGTCCTACAGAACTATCTTTGGCAAGCATTCAATGAAGGGAAAACATCAGGACACCCAAGGCTTTAACAAACCTTGCTCTCCTACAGGTCAGCTCTGGCTCCTTCAGAGTCTCGTCTGTGTCAACTCTAGGCATACTTGTAATGAGAAACACTGGCTATCAACAGATGGCTTTATAAAAGTTAGCCGCTCAAGACCATTTAGGAAAAGTAGTAGAGGCTGCTAGCAAATGAACCCAAGTGGCCTATACACAGCTTTAGCAAACAAAAAAATTACAAGCCTAGAATGATGATACTATAGCAACACAGATCAAAAGCATTAGAGCTGCTGACCTGAACCACAGCCACCACCTGGAGATGGCTGGGCTGCCAAAGTCATATCAAGCATTCATACAGTCCTTTGTTATTTAATCAGCTATTACATACTGTAACAATCAAAAAAAATCAATGGTTACAGGTGTAGAGGATATTAATTTTAAACCCATAATCCAGCATACAAGCCAGTACAACAGTATGCTTCTCATTTCTATGGGCTAGCAGTCAGGCAAACCATGTGTAATCAAAGAGAGTCCAACTAAAATTCATACATCAATAGTACATGTTTATTTAAATTCATAAGCATGTAAGAGCTATATGCACGTATGCATAATTACCTCGGTTTGTTCAAACACAGCCAGTGGGTCACTAATTCCCCTGTAGTTAAAGGCAAAATAGAAGTAGACACAGGCACCTGCATCATAAGTCTGCGTCACCCTAAAAAACAAACAGACAAAATCCCCACAGGGGCTTTAACTTAAGTGAAATCAGATTTAACATCTAGAAACTTAAAGGCAAAATCACCTGAATGATTAGCTTAAGTTATAATCTCATTGTATGCCCAGTCTCCTTCTCTATTAAAGGAATGCAGATTGGACATTTTTCTTAGAGTTGTGGCTCAAACAGGTGAACTAAGGATGCAGTGGGAAACAAAAAGATTTTACTTTCATTAAAGGGCCAGTTTAGTCAATATTATAGGTACAAGTTCAATCATTCTTTTGTCTGTTTAATCCCATGTCTACTGGGAAATTAAAAAAAAAATTACACATTTTATCAGCAACACTGTCATTTTCCCCTGACCTTATCGAAGCTGTTTAGTTATCTAGAAGTAAGGCGAGCTATTAGTAGCATGTGTGAAAACACCACTATATAATCAGATAAATGTACTATTTATCAGTTGTTTTAAATTACATAATCAAAATAACATTACAACTAAATGGTAAAAAGGTATATGTATATACTTTAACAAAAATATGGCATAAAAAAACTGAAAGAATAAAAACATATCTCAACAATAAAAGTAATGCTGTAACTTTTAAAATCTTTCCTCTATTCAACTAATTTTATACACAATTAGTTCTTCATGTAACTGGTATGAGACATCATTTTAGGCACATTCATATGTCAAACAGTACAGCTCCATTATTTTTCAAATGCATGTTTGCCAGCCAAAGGAAAGCAATAGGTCGGTATGTATAGATGTCAAGTATTTTGTGTATTGCTACAGTAAAGAGACATGATACAAAATGTCTGCCCCTGGAGGGGGAGTCCCTGGGTGGTACAAACAATTAACATGCTTGGCTGCTAACCAAAGGGTTGGAGGTTCGAGTTCACCCAGAAGAATCTTGAAGAAACACCTGGTGATCTACTTCTGAAAAATCAGCCACTGAAAACCCTACGGAGCACAGTCCTACTCTGACACACATGGGTTGCCATGAGTCAGAATCAACTTGATGGCAACTGGCTCCTTGAGAGAGGCAACATTAGACTAGAAACAAGCAACTTGGTTCCATTCATTGGCCCCAACACTGCAGACAACATGAGCATGAATGCAAGGAATACATATAAACATGCAAACACTTGACTAAGATCAATTTTCATTATTTTAAAAATGTATATTGATAAAATGTGGGCAATTACAAACTCTTCAAAGTACATTAAATGCTCTGGCAACAATACTATGAACATGTCATTTGTTTAGATTCTTCTGGCTCAAGAGACTTAAACATTCTGGGCAGAAAAAAATAAATCATCAAAGTTGGAGGCCAAAATAGAGACTCTCTTTAGTCCCTACAATTTAGAAAATAAATGACTATGAAACAAATATCAGTAACATTTTTTCTACACAGGTAATTTAAATGCACTAGAAGCAACTCTTCCATACTCTCCATAAACAAAACAAGATGTAGCCTCGGATACAGGATGATGAATAGAATTCAAGAATGCTGACAATTTTGAGTTCAGTTTAATAAGCCATCTGATGATGTGCTAGACACCATGAAAGACAGCATATAAAGACAAACAACACAGTAGCTTTATGCAGGTTAAAAACAAGTCTAGACTCTACACTAAACGGAAGGAAAATACTAAGGTAATAAAATCACAGTAAGTGATTACACAAAGTATAAGAAAATTTAGGCAGGTCAGATTGGGAAAGGCACCCTAGAAAAGGTATAACTGAACGGAGACTGACAGAAAATCTAAGAAATTGTTCTCAGTAAGAAAAGTGCCATATTATCAAGGTATAAAATAGATCAGCCAAGGGATAATGGAGGAGGAGTAAAAAAGCCAGACATCCAGCAATAAAGGAAGCAGATGGGCACACAGGAGATTGAGGGAACAAATTAGGGAAGGATGAACTGGTAATAACCCTAATTCTGATGTCAGGAATAAGAAAAATAAAAGCATTTGAGAACGAAACTGAGATAAAGGAGCAACGGTAAATAACTGCTGTGACAGCACATGGAAACGAACCTTCACTTAGCACAAACTCTGCAGCACACAGTCCTGAGTGGCAAAGAGAGCTCTGCTACTCCCTCTCCCTGCGTCTCATATCTTATGTGCCATTCACCCTGCCTGCATTAATGACCCTTCCTAAGTATGGGCACCTTCTCTCTTCCTTTTCAAAAACTACGTTCCTGAGTCAAAAGGACACAGAAGCCAACCTAAAGGAGTTCACAATGGCCAAATCTGGGACAATCTGAGCAACAAAGTGAATAATGATAATAACAGATATAACTCAGAGAATAAAATATCTATGAGTCCATACTGATATAATAAAAAACAATTAAATGAGTAAATAAGTAGGTAAGTGGGAGAGTTTTCTTACAGTAGAATTCCAATTAATAAACAGAAAGTTACCACTGGCAAACATAACAGCTGTTGTTAGCAAGAATCATGAATGGGATATTGATGATTGCGAGATAGTATGACAAGAAAAAGATTATTCCATAGATTTAAATCTTATTTCTATTTTAAATTTCCCCATAAGATTTTTATTAAGTACAATGAGGAAAAAAAATAGTGAATTTTAAGTGAAGAAACCTGGCAGGTACCACCATAACCAAGTAATCAAAATTAATTATCACCAGTAGTGAGACATACCGACATCATGTGCCTCCTGATGATATAAACCAAGAAGACGGCACATTACTTCTGTGGTACTCTTCCTAAAATGTACAACCTGAATTCAATCATAAGGAAACATCTAACAAACTCAAGCTGAGGAACATTTTACAAAATAACTGTCCAGTATTATTCAAAAATGTCAATATCATGAAGGATAAAACAAAACCATCCCAGATTGGAGAAGATTAATGAGCCAGAAAAACTAAACACATTATGTGATCAAGCATTGGACCCTGAACTAGGAAAAGGACAAATTTAAATAAGGTTTGTAGAATAGTTAATAATATTATAACAGTGATAGTTTTTTGGTTTTGATAACCATACTGTAGATATGTAAGATGTTAATTAACATTTGGGAAAGCCTGGGTGAAGAGTAGCGTATGGGAGCTCTCTGTACTATTTTTACAACTTTTTAAAAATCTGAATTATTAGCCAAAAAAAGTTTAAAATTTTTTAAAAACTATGTAAATGTCTCTCCAACTGGTCTGAAATAAACAAACAAATCCCCATCTCCCTCAGAAAGAATTAAAAAATAAAAAAGAGTATACTGCAGTTAAAAACAACCCCAAAACATACTAGATGAAACTGAGTAATCAGTTATAAGTCTTCCTTCCTCAAAGTTAAAAGAAATAAAGAAGAACTTAAAAGTCAGAAATAAGACAAATGTTCAAATACCAAAAATGATCAGACTGGGTGAAATACAGCATCTTCACCAAGTTTACATTAGTCATTGGTATGGATTTTGGAAACAAACTGAATGATCAGATCAAATGCAGTGACCTGGATTTAAAATAGTGTCCCCAAAGGTTATATACCCTAGACCCCATATGCGTGTATGTGGTATGTGTATTTACAAAAGCTACTGAGAATGCTAGATTATTAAATCCTACACATGATGTATATCTAGGCTTTAAGAATGCAATTAGGTGAACATTTGAAAAAGAGCTAAAGTAATCACAGTCAAATCTCCAAATCCAATTTACTGAGGTTCCCACAAAGAATCTAATTTAACAGAAGGAGCAAATACAGAGGAAATACTCTTTTTACTACACAATACAAATAGAACGTAATCTAAAATTTTTATGGCCTTTTAGGCCAAATGTTAGGTGCCTTAGAACAGAAGAAATGAACTGTTTAACAATGCTACTGTCAATTTGCCAACTGTGCTTTTCTTCTAGTGTTAATTCACACTCATAAAAAAGATCTCTTGGATGTCTACATTTTAAATACCAGATTTACAAAGTTTAAGAAAGACTGGGGAACCATTTAATTATGAGGGCACTATCTTTAGGAAAAATCATATTCAAATGAAATTTGAAAGATGAATAAACTAAATGATTTCATAAGAGAATCATTAATATCAATACACAGAAAATGTAACTAAATGTTAATAGGACATTGTCATCTTCCAACAAATCCAGCATCTATATTACACAGTTCAGTTTTCATGAGATAACCCAAAAACCAGTTGCCATCGAGTCGATTCCAACTCATAGCAACCCTACAGGACAGGGTAGAACTGCCTCATGGGGTTTCCAAGGAGCGGCTGGTGGAGTCAAACTGCTAACCTTTTGGTTAGCAGCTATAGCTCTTGACCACTGTGTCACCAGGGCTCCTTCAGTAGATAAGCAGGTTACTAAATTCACAACAAAGCTTGATGGGACTCACTGAATCAGTACCGCAGACAAAGACTAAGTCCAAATAATGAAAAACACCTGTGAAAAGCTTCAATTTGGGTGCATTTCAGAAAGGGACTCAGAGCTAAGATCTTTAAATAGATCAATTCTATCACTTAAGACAATTTAAACACTTAACCTCTTCCAAGACCACATGGACAAGTGATAGTGTGACTGACAAAGTCACAATTCTGTTCTTTAATTTCTGAAAGTTTTTTGTGCTCTACACTTTTTGGAGTAGTTTATTTGTGTTATATTCACTGACTAGAAACTTCTTCCCACATAACCTCTTCAGAAAATTTAGAGTTGGAATTTCTATCCCAGTATATAAAGTAACTTGTAATGGACAAAAATGGAATAGGCGAACTCAATAAATGCAGCCCACAGCTAAATTAATTTCCTTAGGATCTTTGATTTCAATTAGAGCTACATTGGTTTTAAATTAATTTTGAAATAGCTTTTTAAAACCTGGTTTAAAAAATATGTCTCACACATTCAACAGTTACGTTCAACACAGAATAATCTCCTTGTCTACCACCAAGCAGCTCAAATAAAACTAAATTAAAATTAAACTCTAGTTAAATGTTAGTTTAATCAAGTGTGAGCCAAAAGAATTATATTTAAAACTCCTATTTATCAAAACCTGGTAAATAACCAGACGTTGCATATTCTTAACTTTCGGTTTTGTAGATGATCACAGAAGCTGATCATCTCTCTTATCACAAAATCATTCTTTAAAAAAAAAGCTACTTAATAAACATGGCATATGGCCAATTCCATTTAAATATACTAATTTTATCTACCCATAATAAAAAATGAAGATTCTTAGTCCTCATGAGCATCTTCTGAAGAACCAAGATTTAAGTATTATTACAGAATGTGCTGTACGGCAAAATATTTTACTTCCCAATGATTTTCAAAGGTGATTTATTAGAAAGATATTTTCACAGCTGGGGGGAAGGAGGTTCTTGGGAGATGTTAAATAGGCAGTTGGGGCAGAAGGAGGGAAGGGGGGATGGTAAAAAGCTACTAAATTGCTACTTGACAAAACAAAGCAATAAAAATTTCTCAACTACATGAAAATAGGTTCTATTACCTAAAATGTTTCAAACTTTACTGGTAATAAATAACATTTGGATTATTAATTCCGGTTTGCTTTTGGTATTATAATAAAAGGCCTGACAGACGGGACTGTCAAGAGAAAAACCGAATATCAATTTTGGTCAATAATTTAAATAAACACAAATTTTTTTCTTAAGTTTTAAGGACTTTAAAATAAAAGGTTCACTTGTAAATATCCCCAAATTAAAAACAAAACAAACAAACAAATGTATATTCTTATATCTTCATTTGGAAAGGCTCTCTCCAAGGTCAACTACTGAGCTATCATTAGCTTTACCAAGTTATAAGCCTTTTATATATAGAACAAGGTCCCCATTTTCCCTTCCTCCAGATATCTCAAATGCTCATATTTTCAGCCTTTACATTCTCTGATTCTACCCTCAATGCAAATGTTTGAAAACATGTTAATACAGAGATGACCTGGTACTTCCTGCAATGCTCTTCAAACCATGACAGTCCTTCCTATTTAGAAGCAGAAAAGATTGTCTCAAGGAGACCCTTCTGAATTGAAATGAACAGTTAAGATACAAGAACAAGGCTTTCCTCACATCTCATGCTAGAATCTTACTTTCTTATCCTGTGGAAGCATAATTTAACAAATTCTAAACAGTACCACCTTTCCCAGTGGGAACACTAAGTAGAACTAAGAAATACAATACAGTAGTAGGGAAGTACAAGATGAGAGAATGTCAAAGATAGAGAAAGAAGAAATAAACCACAGAAGAGATAGCAGTTTAAAGAGTACAGAATTATTTCTGGTCTTGCAAAGGAAATATACAGAAATTATCATGCTATATCAAAATATCAAGGGGTCAAGGAGGCTTAACAACTGGATGCCTTCATGAGGACTTGTCATTGGAGAAGAAGAAATATGCAAATTTCTCTTACTATACTAGTACGGATTGTCTACCTCAACCTTAATGTAACTACCTCACAATAATACTATAGCATTTTTATAGCCCTTTACAGAAACAAGTTTTTTCATATGCCTTCTCATTTGATTCTTAACAATAATCCCATCAAGCAGAAGGTGTTACTACTATTCTACTGATGATAAAATTAGAGCTCAAAAGATTAAGTTACTAATAACAGCAGAACAGTGCCTTCACTCTTCAAGACACATATAGTTTCTTACACTACAAAGAAATGTAAAAAGCTAGAAGGGAAACTGCCATGGTGTTGCAGTTGGCAGACAGGACCTGGTTCCTGGGCTGCGGCAGGCCCAGGTCGGCCTTCCTGGGTTGAGCTTAAGTGATTCCAGGTCAATCAGAGGAACAAGCATCATCAACAGAAATATATAGAAAGTGCTGTTATGCTGAAGCCTAAATGTTGTTTCAGAAATCCAGCATCTAGTGCACTTAACAATAGAGACATTATTTCCAAGATTCCCTAACTTTTGGTCATGCTTATATTGTTTAAACAAAGTTTTTTGCTTGTTTCTTAAATAATATCACCGATGTATTTCTAAAAATACACACACACAAGAGGGAAAGTGAGGCAGTTATACAATACAGACTGCTGAGTAACTTTTAAAATGCTAGATTACTATTGTATCGTATCATTTATTTTAGGTTTCCTGTCTCATGATCTGTTCTGATTCCCATTTACTCTCCATTCCAATTAATTCTGTAACTTTTCAGACAGTCAAATGTTCAACTCATCTTGATATATTTAGTCTCCTGTTGGTTACACAGAAAATAAATATCAAAAGAATGAATACAAAGTGCTCCTTCTCAAGAAAGCATCTTTTGGGGCTGCTGCTATTTAACACAGAGGACAAGATCATCAGTTAATCATGCACTGTCCAGTATGGAAGATATTAGCCACATGTGGCTTTTTTTAAAATAAAAATTAAATAAAATTAAGAAAACAGTCACATTCACAACATTTCAGCAGTAATATGTGGCTAGTGACTATCGTATTGGATAGTGTAGATACAGAACATTTCCATCATCACACAAGAATCTATTAAAAAGCACTGAGTTAATCTTCATTTGGATCTTTTTTGCTCTTTTCTTCATTCCACTCCCATTGATTTAATCAACAACTTATAAAATGGCTAAAAGACTCTGATGAAGAAAGAGCTATGCTGACTATGTATGTAATTTATCATTTCAGTGAATAAAAAAGCAGTCATTTTCTTTCTGCAGGAGCTCAGACTCTTTGCCCACTGCCATGCTGTCCAAAGGGTGTCTTACCTCTAAAGGGCTTAGAACTGCTGTAAAATTCCAGTAACGCCACCCTAATAAGGTGGCAAGTTAAGTTTAGGAAAGCTTGCCAAGTCGAATAAATTGAAGATTTTCCTCACCTGGCAAATTACATTTCCCCATTGATTAAAAAATGGTTTTATAAGAATAATAAAACACTCACCTGCATGTAGAAAAAGGAGCAAACTGAACACCTTTCTCTTTGCATTCCCTTGTTATTCTTTCTTTGACGTTTCTACAGAGATCTACAACTCTAGAAAAGACAATTGAATACATCATTAAGTTTTCAAATGAGTTATACAAACTCCAATAAATGCTGGTTTATCTGGCATCCTTCAAGTCAGAATTCCCTTAAACTTTTCTAGTTATTTCTTCAGGAATAAAAATGAATCTTGATCATTCAAAATTGAGCCTTCCATTCATAACTTCAGAGGGAACAGAGTCCTTTTTTTTTGCTATAGGAAAGAGAGAAGTCAGAAGAACATACACAAGTCTCCTGAAGGCAGTTTCCTATCCTTAGGAAAAGCCAATTTCAAAATAAATTTAATTACAAGGTTTTAAGAGCTTTAAAGAAGCAATAAAGAACTGACAATAAATATTCAATTCTGGGTTATGCGAATGCCAATCTTTATCCATGCGTAAGATGTTTCCCTTAGTCAAAAAAAGTTTCAAGCAGTAATTATGATGATATATCAAATGTTCAACAGCCAATTTTCAAACACTGAGCCGAAATCCAATTCAACAAAAACTTACTGGACACTATGGGTAAAGTGCTAATGTGCTATGCTAGACTGTTTTATATTAAAAATCAATGAAAACAGGCAGGTGAGGGATAATGATAATCCTTAAAGGGGAGAAGAGGTTGACATTACTAATCTGTTTCTGAATGTGAGCTGTAACATTTTGTTATAACTATGCATTTTGTTTCAACTTAAAGTATTCATAAGCCATTTTATTCCCTAATTAATATCCTGGCCATTTACTGACACTGCCTCTTTGTTAAGAGTCATGAGAATTGAAAATAAAGAAACTCAAAAGGCTAGCCTATCTGTAGGCTAAAGACTAATTTGACTATGTAAGAACCAATTAGACAAAAATAAGAACACAAATGGATTATACTTTATAAAACACATTAAAGTTATCTATATTTCCAATAAGAACAAAGAATATATGATTAAAATATAAATACAAAAAGAGTTTTAGTGTTTTATTAACATGGCACATTTTTTATCTTTATAAATATAGTATCTGAAAGTTCTGTAAATACTAATTTTACAAAAGAGTGCTAAATTAAATACTGCTTTAATCTATGAAAGCTGCAGGCAAGTATGATTGGTCAATGTTATCTATGCCTCATTTATGGAATGGTAAGAATGCACATTTTAAAAAATCTCTAGTAAAGCATTTAGATTATTGAAATTGAACGTGTCTTTTTGTATAATCAAAATTGTTAAATTTGTTGAAAACTGTTAAAACAAATACTTTAAATATACATAAGACCTACTAAACGTTTATATCTAGAGGGGTTAATGAATATTACACATTTTTTACATAAAAGTAGCAAGTTCATTATCATGACTCCAGAAAATAGGACTTAAGCACTACAGCTGACCAGTCTAAAAAAAATTAAGAATTGCAATTCATCTGCTTTTATAGTCCTTTGCAAGTTAAACTATCAGGTGGATTGTATTTCAGTTCAAATGTATTTAACTGTATCCAATAACCACAAACAAACCCCTGTAAAAATACAATAGGAAACACGGACATGTTAAGAACAGCCTATATCCAAACCCTTGCCAGTAGCTGAGCTGAATAATGAGATGGAAGAAAGAACAGGAGTGAATGGTTATAACCTCCAGTGGGTCACTTTCAATAAATGATTTGTAAGAAGGGGGTTCTGAAGGTAGTCTTTCATAGAAATTGAACAAAGGTCAGTATGATCCTTTTTGACCAATCATTGCATAGGACATAAACATACTGTGTATACTTTTTAATTCTTACTTGACCTATCAGCAAATTTAACACTGTTGACCATCCCCTCTTCGAAAAAAACTCCCCAGGCCTTCTCTCATATCACTGATATTTATATTCCTCAAAAGTCTCTAGTTATTATTCCTCAATCTCCTTCGCCAGCTCTTGTTTGTATGACTATCCCTTAGAAGTTGGGATTCCCTGGACTTCTTTCTTAGGCTCTCTTCTTCCCTGCCCCCACCCCACTTCACTCCATATATCCATAAGTATTTGAATCTATCCCCTTGATTTTAATCACAAGCCTCATGCTGGTGCCTCCAAAATCTCTAACTCTGACCTCTTAGGCAGCTATTTTTTAATAGGCTGCATTTTTATACAATTCCAAAGTTTGTTCATAGGACACTATGCAGAATATTCACTGAGCACCAACTAGGTACAGTCATTGTGTTAGGGCCACTGAGGGATGGATACACGAAGACTGATAAAACCAACAGTCCCTCAATACGCTTACACACAAAAAGACCAATGACCTAACGTGTGAGGGCTGAAGATCTTAATTCCATGGGTTACTGCTAAACAAGGTCTCTATCCAGTTAGAGGTTTGAGAGAAAAAGCATGTTGCTAAGTGGGTTAACAATCAAATTTTATGCCAGGAATATAACTACCTTGCAGTAATGTTATTCATTAAAATAAACTTTAGCTGAAGAAATTGTTTTAAATGAAAATGTATAACCCTGAATAAAACATAAATTAACAGTGAGTCAATTGAATAAATATGTAAGTATATACAAGGAAAGTATGAAGAAAAATGAAAACACAGTACATGATTAGCTTCCATAGTTGGAAGAATAAGAAGACAAGATGGTAATCATCAATCAGTTAGTAGTAACTGAATGACAAGGAAATTCATGATACTGAAGAAAAAGCGGCACTACACTAACCCATTCTCCTCCACAAGGAGAGGTATTAAAGACTAAAACAGTCTTTGAGACCACTACAAACAGCTGCCAAACTACTTCTGCTGCTCAAAAATTTCAGACATCAATGACTTGCTCATTCTTTACTTACGTGATTTATTCCCCTTGTTAAAATTTAGCATCAAAAATTGTGACTGATACTATAAACTGGGTTAAAATCTAACAAAGCATGGAATCTGAGCACCTATGCGTCGAAAGTCATAATCTATAGCAGATGAAGACTGAATGTAGAAAAGTAAAAAGTTTTCTGGGGGAGAAAAAAAGATGCTGGGAGAATAAAATGTTAAGACACGTAATTACTGAGGAGGTGAATTCATGGAAATCAGCTCTGTACGTTTCTGTAGATTTAAAATATTTCATAATTTTATAAAGAAAAAGTAAAATATGAGGCACAGTAGAAGAAAATAAAAATATTCTGACAACATAAAAAAAAATTTTTATTATTATTCAATGAGTTAATAATTTACAAGTCATTTTTAATAAAACTGTTTCACATTTTCTAATCAGTTTTTAGAGTCCCTGGGTGGTGCAAATGGTTAATGCACTTGGCTGCTAACTGAAAAGTTGGATGTTCAAGTCTATACAAAGGCATCTCAAAAGAAAGGCCCGGTGATCTACTTCTGAAAAAGCCATAGAAAATCCTATGGAGCACAGTTCACTCTGACACACATGAGGTCTCCATGAGCCAGAACTGACTCAATGGCAACTGGTTTTTATCCTTACTTTGTTAACCAGTATTTGTGTATCAGTGTGTGCGTGAATGAGTGTGTGCATTTCTTGTAAAGAAACTCGTCTAAAATTTGCATTTCTTTTATTTGAGTCATTTACTGTAGTATGTTCCAGTAATAGAATTTTTGCTTAAATTTAAACATAGAAATTGTACATAATTTCTTAAATTGGAATTCTTTCAGAAACCACCTAAATGCAAGTTAAAATGCAAGTTTTAATGTATACACATAAAAATATCAAAAGTTACATGATATATGATAAAAGGAGGTTAACTGGTTTTATAATTTTGGGGGACTTTTTAGAGAACACTTAAGCACATTAATCACTTAAGAATTTAAATCAAAGCCAAGTAAAACCACACAGTGACATTTAATGTTCAATAAGATTCTTTACAATGTAAACATCAACAATACTCTCCTTCCTCTGTGGGTCACAAAGAAACTTGCCTCAAACCAAAAATGGCTGGAAAACATGACATTCTGATGAAAACATTAATTTAAATAAAAATGGCTACTATCTTAAAAGTTTACCTCTTTACAAACAAAGTTACATTACTCCAACAACTGATATAGCATAGTTGGATAGTATCAGGCATTTTATTACATTTTACCTGTCCCAAGGAGCAGAAGTTTCAAAGGATTCTCCCAATATATAGTATTCCAAACCCAAGTCCTGTTAAGACACATACACAAAAATACAATTAAAACAGATGCAGAAGAATCAATAATATTAATTATTAGCATTTCATGTTCCTTGTTAGTATTTCAAAAACCCTGGTGGCATAGTGGTTAAGAGTTCTGCTGCTAACCAAAAGGCGACAGTTCGAATCCACCAGGCACTCCCTGGAAACCCGATGGGGCAGTTCTACTCTGTCCTATAGGGTCGCTATGAGTTGGAATCAACTCGATGGCAATGGGTCTTTTGGTTGTTAGTATTTCATGTAATTTTTAGTATTACATGTTTCTAATATAACCTCAACTACTCTTTACTATCCACATCATAAAAACACTGTAAAGTTGCCCCAGCAGTGAGATATAACCTCCACGAGGGCAGGAACTTTGTCTTGTTCTCTTCTGTATCCTTGGCACCTCGCAGAGTACCTGACACACGGTAGGACTGGAAATGTTTCTCCAATAAATGGATTCTCTATCCTGGGACAGTCTATGCACATGAAGAGAATCCTGGCAGAACAAATTTTCAGTGGCCAAAATAGCAAATTAACCAATGTCATAATTGGTCATCAGGGTTGGAGGAGAAGAGGGAGCAGGAAAGTCATGGGGGAAGCTAGATGGAAGACAAGATCTCTTCTTAAAATCAACTTTTTAAAAAACAAATTTAGAAAATAGAATGCCTCTCTTTACAGAGAGGATAGACTGGATAAAGCATCTGGATGCATCTCTGCTAGGAAAATATATTTTATAGTGTACAGGATATAGTACTTATAATACTTAATTTCTTTACCCACGACACAATCCTGTTTTAATATCAAAATTGAAAGAACCATTCACCACCACAGAAGTACAATTATTTGAAAGAAAACTTCGTAAGGTAGAAAACTCAATACATAACTAAGTTTCGATGCCCAGTAAAATGAATCACTTCAACCCCACCACTGGTTGACAGGAAAAACCCCCAAATTACTGACCTAAAATGCGTGCTTTTCTCTTATTCAAAAAAAAATTATTTGATGACAATGATATTAAGAATTGGGAGAATAAGAAATAAAACAATTGACCACCCCCCCCAAAAAATGTCTGATTTGCTTTTTGCTAAGCTTTATACCAGTAACTATTAACATTAATTAGAACTTTAATAATCAAGAAACTTACTCCAAACTAACTGTGTCTATGCTGTACTTGTTACAGTTTACTATTTCACTTTCTACAATTCGGAATTAGGTATTATGGAAAAGTAGTCAATACCCTCAAAGAAAATGCCTAACAAACAAACATGGGGAGAAGATGGTGCAATGAGAGTCTATGGAGGTAGACATTATTTATAAATTGCATAAATCTTATTTTTCAGATCTAAAATCACCTATTACCTTTCATGATCTATATATCTCTTAATCACAATTTCTAACACAGGGCACAGGCAATAAATGTACTTTTCCTTATCTGCATTATGAGGGGAAGGAGAGGTATGCCCTATACGCTGCAATTCACTGCAATTTAAAATCTACATTTTAGCTATGATTACATTATTTTTATAATGAGAAGGTATTAATTCAAGCTTTGTTAGAGAGGTGAAAACAAAAGTTTATGTAAGTATTTCCTTCACAACGATTTCCAAGTGAAAAATTAGAAAATTTAGTATTTGGGGAAGCCAAATTGTCTATAGGATATTTGAGAAATGACTTTTTAAATTAAGATCCTTCAAATTATTTAAGAAGCAAAGTTAAAAATAAATGAATAAAAGTAACCTAAGCAACAGCAGAAAATAATTAAGAAACTTGAGTTTGTTAGAGCCAAAGTAGAAGAACAAAACAAAATTAATTAATTTTCAAAAGAACAAATTCGTATCAATAAGTATAGAAGACTCGTGAGGTTAACAATGACTAGAGAACAGTGTCTTACAAACAGTAAATGTAGAATTAGAAAAATTGTGGAGCTCATATACACAAATTATTTAATTCTATGTCACAATCATCACCAATGAACCAATAACTACTTGCAATCAAGTTAAATATCAACTTTTAGACACATTTAAAGAAAGATTTATGTATCTTTAAAACAGATTATATGAACAAGTGAGGGATACTGCTATATAAGACAGCTCGATTCTAACCAAGAAATGCTAGAAATGGTACGCTCAACTCTGACAGAGAATGGCTTTATTCTTTTAAAGAAGAGAAGATCTATTATATCATCTTTAAATTCCTCAAAAGCATATATGGAAGGTTTAAACGGGCTTCTGAAGATCTGTAGCTAATCATATAAAATGATGTGCTAAATTACAACGGGTTAAAAATTAAGGAAAAAAAGGACAATTTTATTTGCTCAAATTAAGAAAAAGTATTATTTGCAACATAAATTAATACTGAAGATAACTTACTCGAATATATGCAATGACATAGGTCAGCAAGTAACCTCTCTGTCCATTATCTTCTCCAACAGCCAACCCACTGTAATCAAAGAATAAACTGTTAATGTATTCAAATGAACTATTAAAAAATACATAATACTAAGCAAACTGATACAATGCCTCAAAATAACTACTTAACAGATTAATGTATACTATAATGCATCTCATTATTATCTAAATATATCAAAGAGCTGTCAAGAGAATAAGCTTGGATAATAAAAATCTAAAAATACTTTTAATATTTTAGTTTAGCCATTAATTTCAGATTTTTATCCACCAAACTAATAAAACCAACTAATTTGAATTTCAATTGCTTCTATCCAAATTGTTGAAAGAGCAAAGAAAGCTTGAGAAACAAGCTTTAAACAATCTGCAAAAAGCATAACAAGATACTTAAAATCTGATCTTATTTATATATAAAGAAGTATGATGATAGACTAGGATCTCCCCAAAACCAGGAAGTTTCTTGAATATTGAGCATGTAGTATTTGGGGTGTTAGACATGGTGTTTATTTTATGGAATTTATGATTTAAATGGGAAACAAAACATACTTATACAGAAATATTAAAGTTTACAAAGGATATAGATAAGTGCAATACCAACAGGTAAGGTCTTATTGCTATGACTATATAAACTATTCACTTCTATTTGAAAGTAGTTTTATTCATAGAAATTATATTTGGTAATCTAGTTAGAATTAATCCTATATGGCATATAATTCAATTCAATTATATGCTTTAAAAGACTATGAATGAATATTGCTTCTTACTACCTGCAGTAAAGAGTTTTAAATTATGCTTTTTTCCATTATTAGGCAGAAATTAACTTTTAACTAGTCTCAGTCAACAAAATAAAACTTACCCCAAACTCTCAAAGCACCCACTAAAGATAGCTTAATAATACTAGATTAAAAGAAAAATATCTTTTCTTGTGACTTCTGGTCATGACTGATGAATAGCTTTTAGGCTTCTTTTCTTAGTGTCCTAACTGCACCTCTTTGGTCTAACATCATATGCTAAGTTGTTAACTGTACGTCCCGCCCAAGACTCAGTCCTTGAAACTGCTGTATTAACCTCTTCTGGAAAAATCATTTCTCTATGGTTTCAGTGAACACCTTACAGTTAAATCTCTTTCTTCCCCTGAAGTTTGGCTGAATCCGGTGTAAGTAAATAATACAATGTAGTTGTACCCTTGTTCTATACAAATACTGTAAGTCAATTTCAGGCTAGGGTATATTAGCTAAATCAGAATTTCCAACTATTATAGTTGGATATACACGGATTAGAGTTATACAGAAGGAGTTGTAAAGACTTGACAGAAGATGCGCTAGTCTAGAACTACTTGGGGATGGGGTACAATGAAATAAAATGGGTTTTTTTTTTATTACTAAAATATTAACGAGCAAAGAAGACAGAAATTAGGTCAAGTGGCTAAAAGTGAAAAGTAGGAAGAGACAAGACAATTGTGAGTTGGGGAGCGGGTAGAAAGTCAAAGTTCAAAAACAAAACGAAAAAACACTGAAAATCGCTGAGGCAAGCACTTTGAGGAAAACAGATGAGCCACAGCTCAGGTAGATATGAAACTGTCAGATTCTGAGTCCAAGACAGAAAAAAACACTACTGATATAGAAAACAGAAACAGTTCATCCTGGGCCTATGTCATGGATTGAATTGTGTCCCCCCAGAAATGTGTGTACCAACTTGGCTAGGTCATGATTCCCAGTACTGTATGATTGTGTTATCTGATGTGACTTCCTTATGTGTTGTAAACTCTATCACTATGATGAGATTATATGTGATCTCCTTATGTGCTGTAAATTCTATCACTGTGATGAGATTATACTGATGAGGTTGACAAGATTAGACAGTGTCTTAATGCAATCTCTTTTGAGATATAAAAGAGAGAAGAGAGCAGAGACACATGGGAACCTCATACCACCAAGAAGGCAGTGCCAGGAGCAGAGTGTGTCCTTTGGACCTGAGGTTCCTGTGCAGAGAAGCTCCCAGACCAAGGGAAGACTGATGACATGGACCTTCCTCCAGAGCCGACAGAGAACGTGTTCCCCTGGAGCTGATGCCCTGAATTTGGACTTGCAGCCTACTGGACTGTGAGAGAATAAACTTCTCATTGTTAAAGCCATCCACTTGTGGTATTTCTGTTGGAACAGCACTAGATGACTAAGACAGCCTAACAGTAAAAGGAAAGGAAAAGAGAATGAAGACTAGCAAAGAGTGCAAGAGACCTGTGTTGGGAATCTTTAAGAACAAGCAGGCTAAGTATGTATTTGTTAAAAAGTAACAGGTATGAATAATTAGTAGGCCTGTCTGTCTATGTCAGGATAAGACAAAGTTCTACTTTCCAGTCCCAGGTAGCTTATCTATCTAATCAATCTCTCTATGTATCTCTCTATCTATCTAATCTATCTATCTATTCCCCAACCTTCTTCTAATATCTGGCAGGGGGAAATAAAGATCTGCTCCACTTTGGGGTCCACTATGACAAACCACACAGACACATGCATTCTCTTATCTAAGAAGGAAAAAAGAGAATGTCCATTCTAAGGTTATAAACTCGAAAGGAGAAAAAAGGCAATGACTCATAGGTTTCCCTGCAAATTTAGCTATTTGGAATTTCTCTTTTCTTAGCTTTCAGAACTGTCTATCCTCAGCCAGAATTACTTTAAGAATCATTTGTAAACAGTAGCAGGGCTTAAAAAAATTAAAGGCTTCAAACTTGCCATCCTTGTAGCCACTCCAAAAAACTGTATTTAGATTCAAACTGCTTTATCTTGGAGCAGCAATATCCATCCCCTACTTTCTGTTCTTCCCCAAATTTCAAACATCAGTTAACAATGTTCTCAAACAAATTTAAAGCTGTTGCATGAAGAAGGACTGGGAAGACTAATGAAAGGAATGAGAGATAATCTTTTTATATAAAAGGGCCATCTGGTGAACCTAATTATTTTCATGTTAAATTACATTAAACAACTTAAACATACACTTTAAAAATAACGGTAACACATTACCTTAAGTTCTCTGGTAAATGTCAGTACATCTGTCATGATTTCTGACAGGTACTGTTTATTCTGCTCAGCCCTTAGCAAAGTTAAAGTACATTACTATCAAATATGGATAAACTATCAAAGTATGATTATTCAATATTTGGCTGCTATGTTCTGTTGGGCCTTATGTGTCCAAAGGTGCTTAACAGTTCTGGAGTGTTAAAGGTAAGGCATAAGAAATGGCTAAGACAACACACAAAAATATCATCAAAGATAATCAATTTAAAACAAATGAGAGAGGTGGAAAAAGAGGACAAAATAAAAGAAGGAGAAAGTATAGAATAATGCCATACTTCAAAGGAAAATACATGAGGTAAACTAACTCACGAAAATTTTAGCAGAAAGAAACTTGGTGGTGCTTTTCTCCACTCTTTTATGTAGAAGAAATGACTGAGGAACAAGAGTTGAGAAACAGGAATCTTAAGTAAGAAAAATATCCCTGAATCTTTCGGTGATTAGCACAAAGAATTAGTGCCTAGAGATAACTGGGCGAAACCAGACTTCTGCTAGAAAAACACAAGAAGCTATTTCCAATTATCAAAAAATCAAAATAGCCTTAAGTCATCTGCTTTAAGTCAGTAGCCTGGGTTGTTTAAAACAGATTTCTGCATCTCAATAAAGGAAGCCAGGATGAAAGTACATTAAGAAATTAGTCATAATATATAACTAAGAAGTAGCAAATAATAACAGCAAAAACATAAGATACCAATCTGGGCGTAAGTTTCTATCACTTTGCTTTTAATTGATAGTTCATTTATTATGATCTATTTTTAACAGATAAATCTGAAACATTAGAATAAGCAAAATCACTAGAATTAAATCAATAGTTCTGGAGCCTAAGTATCAGTATCTGAAGAGACTTGGATCCTACATCTTAAGGAAGATTCACTGTCATTTCTAAGTTGTAAATGGATGATGTTATGTGAGAAAAACAAACTAGTATTATGTGGAAAGAGAGTTCATGAACAGCTGGCTGCCCAAATTAAAACTGACAAAATGGTTTTGACAAATACCTAAAGATTAAAATATACTACTTAAAGGGTGGCATAGTAATTAGGCATAAAGTAGAATAAAAGATGTCAGGTGGGAAAAAAGTACTCAGTTTCATTAATTCATTTAGTAAATATTTAATAAGCATCTACTATGTGCCAGACCATCAGAGGTGATGCCTAAGAAGAGCCAGGTCATGTCCTATAAAAAATTATGCGTAAGGTGGGATAAACAGGCATTTTGCCATTACCCTATCCCAGTCTAGCAGCAAATGTGGCACTACTAACTATAATAGTTCCCCCTTATCCACGGAGTATAGGTTCCAAGACCCCCAGTAGATGCCTGAAACCATGCATAGTACTGAACCCTATATATACTGTTTTTTCTTATACATACACACCTATGATATAGTTTAATTTATAAATTAGGCGCAGTAAGAGATTGACAACAATAAATAATAATAGAACAAATATTAAGCAAAATAAGGGTTACTTGCACACAAGTACTTCGATACCTCAATGGTCAATCTGATAGCCAATAGAGGGCTACTAAGTAACTAATGGGTGTGCAGTGCATACAGCGTGGATATGCCGGACTAAAGGATGATTCATGTCCCAAGAGGGATGGAGCAGGAAGGTGTGAGATTTCATCACACTACTCAGAACAGTGCAAAATTTAAAACTTATGAATTGTTTATTTCTGGAATTTTCCATTTAATATCTTTAGACCTTAGTTGACCATAGGTAACTGAAACCACGGAAAGTGGAACCGTGGATAAGGCGGGGACTACTGTAGTAATGACTTGTTGGTTAATCTGAATTGTAATTATAAATACAGACCCTATAAAGTAGAATTCCTCCGTGTGTGTGTGTTGGGAGGAAGGCTGAGGTGAAACTAAACAAATTTAACCTGATATAATTCATATATGATTCAAATATTACAGTAAAACTTTGTAGCATTCAAGTAAAAGGTCATTTCCCATTCTTCTAGAAGTCCATCTGGAAAATTTTGAAACCTCAAATATTTATAAATATATACAGAAACATTCTTTTTTTTTTTTTTAACGTTTCAGTCTCTGATATTTAAGGCTGTTGTTGTTAGCTGGTGTTGAGTTGACCCCCAACTCATGGTAACCAAACGCACAACAGGAACAGCCCACTGTGATCCACAGGTTTTTCACCGGCTGATTTTTCAGAAGTAGATCACCCAGACTTTCTTCCCAGTCTTTGTCTGGAAGCTCTGCTAAAACCTGTTCAGCATCATAGCAACACAGCAAGACTCCACTGACAGATGACGCTGGTTGCTCATGAAGTACACTGGCTGGGAATCGAACCCATGTCTCCTGTATGGAAGGCGAGAGATCTGCCACTGAACTACCACTGCCCCATATTTAAGGCTAGAGTAGATATAAAAGATTTTAATTTCCTTAAATCTTCCTAATATAATCTGCTTTAAGAAAAAAAGTACTTAAGTTATAACATGCTCCATATAACTTAGAAAGTAGATGGTAGGTACACACACAGGGCTAAATTCATTTCAGGGACGGTAAATATGTACATTTTAAAAATTCAAACACAAATGAGAACACCTGAAATACAAGCTGTTTGGTCATTAAATGAATTTTTATAAAACAGTTACTTTTGGCTAACTGAGTTAAAACATCAGTGATCCTCAAAAAAGGAACTGTGGGAGGAGAAAAAGTAAAAAATTGTTGGTGCTGTTATTAATGCACGTCAGATTTTACTGAAGAAATTAAAATTCTACTTGCTAATTTCAGAAGAGAGTAAACACAAAAGTGAGGAATTAATTTGCAATACTGAAGAACAGTACAAAAATAAACTAAAATTAAGCCCCAGATTAGACCCTTCCTCCCTTCTATAAACACTGTGCTTTAACACAAAATTCAGAAAATTCTAGAAATAAAGGCAGAATATTCTATCTGAGAAAAATACATAAAAGTGGGGCATTCTAAGACTCTTGGCTCCAAATTAAGTATTTGTTCTTGTAAAAAAACAGCCAAAAATAAAAATTAAAAAAGGAATAAAAGTAAATATTTATAAAGATGATTCAGAACTCAGTATAAGCATAACATGTATGTATATTTTCAGTCCTTAAATAAAAAGAGAAATAAGGAATGGTATATGGAAAACTGTTAGTTTATGTTCTGGAAAAGGAAAGGAAAAAATGTAGTCCTGATAAATGACATTTTCACTGTAGTTCTCATTGATCAGTCTTATAATCCATCAAGCCGACAGACAGAAACCACCCTATCATTATTCAGTTGGTTATAGATGTGAAATGTTTTCTGTTTCTTTGTACCAGCACAAAACAATAAGTGACAGGGGGTGGAGTATAGATAATTTATCAAATACCTTTGACTAAACACAGTTTCCTTTTAAAAACATACTAACAGCATGCTTAATTCATACACTGTTATCACTAAACAGTAACATGGCTATGGATTTTTTTTCCCTACCTCACTCTAGCACAAAAAAATAATAAATGTTATAAAATTAACATTAATATGAAAATGTAGCAAAAATGCAATAAAGATATTTAATATATCACTTATATGACTAGACATGTAAGAGCAACATACCAATCTAACTTCTTGAAACTTCTGGAAGCAAACGGAAGCAATATTTTAAATTTGGCAATAGTGTATGACCAAAAATTTAATACTAAAAAGAGTAAATTAATAACTGATTACAGATATTAAAATTTTCGCTTAACTTTATCTTGGCATTATCAATGTAAAACCATACCCAAATTTTGCAGCAATGTCATACACTTGCTTTTCGTGTTGAAGAACCTTCTCACGGTCCCCCTCAAACAGTAATGTAGCTACACTTAGCTGATGGGGATCAAATCCTTTAAACTACAAAAAAATAAAATTTTATTACTACAGATAAGTCTTAACCTGCAAAATAGTAAATCCAAATACATTTTGCTCTTTTATTCTTCTGATCTGGGTTCAAACACAGTAACTCCTTAAAAGCTAAGCTTTAAAACTTCACATGTCAATCAATAAGAATGCTTAATGAGCCTACTCAGATCATTACAATGGAACAAAAACCCCAGTGGATTTTCTAAAATGATGAAGAGTTTCTAAAATTCTTCTAGAATAAGCAGGTAGGTGATGGTGATAACAATTCTGAAAAACAAAGAGAGAACAAGACCTACAACAATTAAATCCACTTAATTCTTTAAGAACAGAAACTCATTAAAAATAATTAGATACATTAAAATAGGGTCTGTTTCTTGGATAAGTATATAAAAAGATGTCTTAAGCACGGAAATCATTGTAGAGAACCAAGGATTCGTCAGTAATGGTTCTGCCACAACTGGTTAGCAACTGGAGGAAGGGGAGATGTGAAGATTAATTTAGATATTTATTTCACATTATGAAATAAATTCAAATAGTAATAAAGAGAGATTGTTTATTTAAAAAAAAATGAATTGTTTTAAAATTCTCATTAAGAAAAAGAGAAAAAAAAAAAAAGAGAGAGAGAGAAGAAAATGGTCCTGATCATTGTTCTGGAGGAAAGATTTCCTAGGCTTGGAAGTAATTAAATAATCACAGGAAAAAATATAAAAATGTGAAACTTTTGCATAAAAAAGAAAAACTTCTATAAAAAAAAGGCAGGCACCTGACAGGAAAAAATTATTAACAACATTTATAGCAAAGAACATCTAATAATTCCATTACTAGAAAGGGTGCATATCAAAGCACCAAGAAAAAAACTTGAAGTTGGTAAAGTAATCATATCTAACTAATTCACACAAAAATGACTTTTGGAAAACACAAAAAGTTCAGTCTCACTGGCGCTTCAAGAAACATCAACTACAATACAGTGAAACCTGCAAAAGCTGGAACCTGCGTAAGGTGGAAACCTGCCAGAGAAGGAAAACTCAAATATTTTCCACTAAAATGAGCAATAGCAAAGTGGTAAGCTGCACCCTGTCAAAGGCAGAAAACTTGTGAGACCCAGAAAAACAAGGCAGTCGAGTCAAGTTCTGGTTCTCAGTTTTCACTGTACTATTTTTCCCGTTAAATCTAGAACATAACAAAATAAAAAATTCTACACGCAAAAAACAAGGCTATGATAAAAAATGGCACATGTGCATTACTAGTGGTAGTATAAGTTGGTATAACTCTTTATAAAAAGAATGCAGCATTCAAAAGTTAAAAAAAAAAACCAAAACTCTTATTTCACTTCTAGTTATCTACACTCCTCTGAAGGAAAAAATTCACACTATAGAAATTTCTATATGCATGAAACTGTTCAAAACTGTTTATTTTAAGAACTTCAAAACTAGAAAAGAATTTCAAATTTCTGAAATTGACTGCATGACTGATTTACATGATACAATATTTATTCCAACGTGAAAATCTGTGATTATTAAATCTACACAGCAGCGTGGAAAAACATACTTATGATAAGCAGGGGTGAGGACGAGAAAGCAGGGAATAAAATTAATATACTATGCACTTAAATTTTTAGCATTTAATAAAAATTCTTACCTTTGTAATATAAAACTTTTTCAATCCATCCAAAAATGATGTAAAAATAGAGGAAACCTGAGGTTTAAGAGCATGACCTAAAGAAGAAGAAGAAAAAAAAGCTTGTGTTTTAAATTAATAGCAAATTCTGTGTTTTTCAGAAGGACAAGAGGCTACTTCAGCTTAAGTATCCTGAAGGAAAGTGAAGGTTTTCATGACTTTAGTTTTTGTATCTCCCTATGTTATATATATAATGCATATCTATATTAAGACCTACATCTTTCATTGTTATCTTCTTTCAAAAGTCACACACAACTTTTTATTTACAAAACCTCTGCTCATTTTTTGTTTTTTAAGTCAAATTACATTATGCAATTAATACTACACATAGGTTATCTTTCGGTGGCATGGTTTATACACAGTAAAATCACTTCATTAATTTTTATTTTGTTAAGAACACCCAATGGCGGCTGGTTTTACTTTCATTTTGTTTAATTATACAGACACCATTGAGAACTATAAACAAATATGGAGTCAATGCCAAGTTTAAGGTTGTTTCTTAATTAATTCTTAATTCACGCAGAATTCTTGGCATAAAACTAGTAACTGCTTTCTTAATCACACCCAGAGAATTAAAATTGCCAAAATAACATAAATGGTGTCTTGAGACTCGGTTAAATTAACATCTTTGCCTAAGGAAAGGGTTTAATTGAGCAAAAGTCTTTTACTATTTTTCCACTGTTTTCAGAGTAGCAACTTCTAAACTCCCAGGACTGTTACATTTAAGAGTCATGCATCTGGCCTTCACACTATGAGTCCAATTCAGAAAAATGTGGGAGTACCATTTACACAGAATTTTTATAAAGAATTTTAAAGTCTCAGTAAATACAAAATTATCTCCAAATAAAACATTATTTTTTTAAAAGCCTTAAAAGTTTTGGAGGTTTTTGTTTGTTTGTCTTTTAAAGTGTAGGCCCCTAAAATGGGTACAAAAGCAAACTAGCCGTTTCTGAAAAAGAAAGATGTCTCTGGAAAAAAAAAATACCACTTGTAGTCTTTTATGTTCATCTATTTCTTAAAGTTTGAATCTGAATATATAACAGTTACTTACTATACTTTTACTGATTATAACAGGAAACTGTCACATAAAAAAAACCAAGCACCATAGTCTTAATTAACCAGAAGCGAAGAGACAGACATCTTAGCTATAACCGAGACATTAAAAAATAAATAAATAAAGGGCAGATTAGATAGACATCAGCCTAGCAATCTTTTTGAGCTCCTGGATCACAAGTAGGAGGTCTATTTGAGGATTTTTTTTTTCCTTTTATTATAACCTTCTCTAGCATAAACAGTGCTTTAAAATATACAACTTCAGCATGTAAAAAGTTAGAAATAACATCTTATTGAAACATTCACTTCCTACCCTAAATGGAGCTCATCCTATTTTAACATCAATAAATACATAAAGATATATATGCATGAGTATGTGTGCTCTGTTCTTTAAAAACACTGAAATTATCTATTCCTTGTGCAAAAGTCTTCTGGGTCCATATATCTTTACATAACGTATGAGAATTCTAAATGTTACTGTGCTGATGTGAAATAAACCTTAAGGGTAAATATTCACCTCAGTGCATTAAGATTTACATGTACAATTTCCATTGACACTAGCGGGAGTGAGCCACATACATCCTTAATACTAAGTTGATATAATAGGCTTTGGAGCATAACTTACAGTAAAAGTGATAGACTTTTAAGTGGTCAAGCAGTAACATTAACTAGAGGATATTAATTGCTATCTTTTACTTATTCTTAAATTAACTGCATATCAAATTAATTACATTCCAAATATACTCTAGCTATTGTGTTTTATCTTTTACACTAAGCTCACACATGAGGTCGCCATGAGTCAGAATTGACTCAACAGCAACTAGTTTTAAGGAACTATTATTCAAATTTACTAGCTGGACAGTTTGATTAGTGAATTTTCTTGTTATAGTGTTAATTAAATAATTAAGAAAGATTAGATAGCTATGTTTCAAAGAAGCACATGAGGCAGTGGGAAGAGTCTTGTGCTTTAAAATCAGACGGGTTTGAGTCCAGCTTCAGCTCTGTCACATGTGACCTGTAGATTTGGGTCCAACTGTTTATCCTTTCAGTCCTTTGTAAAGCAGGAACGCTACCCTGAAGTACTGTTGTGAGGAGATATTTGATAAATTCTGCTATGCTACTATATATTATTCAGGATTTGTTCACCCTCTTTTGCCAATCTGATGATTAATTCAATCAACATGTCAATGCCTGTTATGTGACAGGTGTAGGAGATATAAAAATAAATAACAAGTGTAGGAGATATAAAAATAAATAACATCCCCTAAATTTGAGAAATTTTAGTTTACAGAAGAAACAGAGACATTAACAGATCATTTGAATATAATAAAGGTTGTGTCAGAGGTAGCAGTGATATTAAAAATATTAACAACCAATAATATGGCTTGTGTTCTAACAACCAATATAGCACAAACACTGATCAGTCAGAAGAGATGCCAGGCATATTGTTGGTGCAAGTTCCTTGTCTTGGTCATCTAGTGCTGCTATAACAGAAATACCACAAGTGGATGGCTTTTAACAAAGAGCAATTTTTTCTCTCACAGTCTAGTAGGCTGCAAGTCCAAATTCAAGGCATCAGCTCCAGTGGAAGGCTTTCTCTGTTGGCTCTGGAGGAAGGTCCTTGTGATGCATCAGTCTTCCCTTGGTCTGGAAGCATCTCAGTGCAGGAACCTCAAGTCCAAAGGATGTGCTCTGCTCCTGGCACTGCTTTCTTGGTGGTATGAGGTCTCCACATCTCTCTGCTCGCTTCTCTCTTTTATATCTCAAAAGAGACTGGCTTAAGACACTACCTAATCTTATAGACATCATCAATATAACTGCTGCTAATCCATCTTATCACATCACAGTGATAGCATTTACAACACATACAGAAATCACATCAGACAGCAAAATGGTACACAATCATACAATACTGGGAATCATGACCTAGCCAACTTGACAGATATTTTTAGGGGACATGATTCAATCCATGACATTCCACCCTGTGGCCCCTAAAAATTCATGTCCTTGCCACAGGTCACAGATTGAATTATATGCCCCCAAAAATGTGTGTATCAATTTGGCTGGGTCATGACTCTCAGTATTGTGTGGTTGTCCTCCATTTTGTGATTGTAATTTTATGTTAAAGAGGATTAGGGTGGGATTGTATAACACTCTTACTAAGGTGGCATCCGCAATCCAACGTAATGGGAGTTTCCCTAGGGTGTGGCCTGTACCATCTTTCATCTTACCAAAGATAAAAGGAAAGAGTAGCAAGCAGAGGGACATGGGGGACCTCATACCACCAAGAAAGCACCAGGAGCAGAGTGAGTGCTTTGGACTGGGGTCCTCGCACCTGAGAAGCTCCTCGACCCGGGGAAGTCTGATGGGAAGAACCTTCCTCCAGAGCCAACAGAGAGAGCGAGCCTTCCCCTGGAGCTGACGCCCTGAATTAGGACTTTTAGCCTACTAGACTGTGAGTGAATAAATATCGATTTGTTAAAGCCATCCACTTGTAGTATTTCTGCTACAGCAGCGCTAGATGACTAAGACACCACATGTAAAACATATTCAGCCTATCATATCACAGAAAATCATAAATAAACTCCAAGTCCAAAATTCAAAAATTCCTCTCCGTCTATGATATCTGCTTCCAAAGGTACAATGGCAGAACAGGCACAAGCTAGACATTTCCATTACAAATGGGAGAAACTGGAGGAAAAGAAGGGATAACAGGCACCAAGCAAGTCAGCAGAACATATTACATTAGCTCTCAAGCCTTGAAAATAATCCTCTGTTCTCTGAGACAATTTACACAATGGCCCTGCCCTCCAGACTCTAGGTATTGGCCCCACTCTCCAAATTCTGAGTGGAGGCCCCTCAGCTCTGGGCTTCAGCTCTGCCTTCCAGGCCCACTTGGACAGCAACTCTGCTCCCTCAGCTTTAAAAAAAAACAAAACAAAACCCGTTGCCATCAAGTTGATTCTGACTCATAGCAACCCTACAGTCCCTCGGCTTTAGGGAGCCCCATTCTCCCAGTCCATCTGAGTGGCGACTCCACCGCTAGAAACACCAGAGGCCATGGCTCCACCCTTTGAAACCCCAGAGGTCCTGGCCATACCTTCTGAGACTGAGGCAGCTTGGCTTCTTGTGTTCCTTGTCTCTTCAGCTTCTGCTTCCTGGTTTCTTGGCCTCTAGACTCCTCGGGCCTCATGCCCGCATCTGCCCTGTTGGAGCAAGTGTTCCAAAGCTCTGTAGCTCCATCGATAGGTGCCCGGAGGCACCCCACTCCACCAGGAAGCCTCGTGCACACAGGCACTCAGCTCTCTCGCTCCGTGGGTCAGCTCCAGTGCCATCTCGCACTGGTTTCCTGGTTCTGCTGCTGCTGGTGATCTGCCACTGCGCTTCTCTACCACTGCAGCCCTCTGCTACTGCTCATCCTCTGCCACTGCTGCTGCCGGTCCTCTATCCACTCATAGTTTCAAAACCACTTCCACATTTTAGGTATCTGTTACAGCAGCACCCCACCCCTGGTACCACATTCTGTCTTGGTCATCTGGTGCTGCTATAACAGAAATACCACAAGTGGATGGCTTTTAACAAAGAGCAATTTATCCTCTCACAGTCTAGTAGGCTACAAGTCCACATTCAAGGCATCAGCTCCAGAAGAAGGCTTTCTCTCTCTGTCAGCTCTGGAGGAAGGTCCTTGTGAGGCATCAGTCTTCCCTTTGTCTGGGAGCATCTTAGAGCAGGAACCTCAAGTCAAAAGGACGCGCTCTGCTCCCGGCACTGCTTTCTTGGTGGTATGAGGTCCCCGTGTTTCTCTACTTGCTTCTCTCTTTATCTTAAAAGAGACTGGCTTAAGACCCTACCTAATCTTGTAGACCTCATCAATATAACTACTGCTAATCCATCTTATTACATCATAGTGATAGCATTTACAACATGTATGGAAATCACATCAGATGGCAAAATGGTACACAATCATACAACACTGGGAATCATGACCTAGTCAACTTGACAGATCTTTTTGGGGGACACGATTCAATCCATGACAGTCTTAGATACCCCTGCTATGCTGTTACTCCTTTAGTTGCTTGATCATGGAGCCATGACAGAATATATAGATGGAAAGGCTTCAACGGGTACTGAGGAATAAAAGAGGTTACAGGCAGCCAAGAAGCATGATGAGGGTTGCCTGTTCTTTTCTCCATATGTAGAAATTGAGATTTAAGGTCATAGAGTTTAAATGATTATTCCCATAATTTCAGGGATTGTTCTAAGGATGTTTAAATTCTATAAATTATGGGAATGATTATTCCCATAATTATTTGATGATTATTTAAGTTTATAGAACTTAAATGATTATTCTCATCATTTCAGGGACTGTTTTGAGGGTATTTGAATTCCATAAACTTAAATCTCAAATTAAATTTCTACATATGGAAAAAATACAGAAGCAATAAAACTAGAATTTAGAAAGATGAGAGTATCAGAAAGTTTAATACTTTAAACAAAATAGGGAGAAAAAGAAAAATGGTTTCAGACATGACTGCATACTGAATTCTCCACCTAAACAGACCAAGGACACCTTAAATGCAACCCATTGTAATGTCTTTTCTCCCAGAATCACCACCTTTTCTATATTGTCGTTCTACCCACCCCATCAATCAAATCTGGGAGTTGCCCTCAACTCTTCCCTTTATTTTTCCTTCCGCATCCAGTTGGCAAATTGATCCAAAATCTATCCCGTACTCTCTATCGTCACTGCTACTGTCTTGATCAAAGTTCCCAATATTGCTTCTTGAACTGTTTCATCTCCTAAATGGTATCCCTCCTCCATGCTTGAACCCATTTAATGCATCCTGCACAATGCTACCAAAATGGGCTTTCTAAGATGAAAAGTCAGTTTATTTTATTCTAGTACAAAGAAATTTCACTGCTGACAAAGTAAAATCCAAGTCTATCCTGCAAAGCCCTAGTCTACCCATCCAGCTTTATCTCTTGTAACAACCCCTACCCTATCCTCTATTTCAGCCACACAGAACTATTTGAAGCACCCTTAAACATTCCAGTGTGGTTTCATAATTTTATATTGTTGCTGACAAGTAAATAAGTTTGGTAGGGGAGGAGAGAACAACTTGGGCAAATTTCCATTCACTTGTTAAGATTTTGCTCAAACATCACCCTCCTTTAAGGGCAGCTCTACTCTGTCCTATAGGGTCACTGTGAGTCAGAATCGACTGGAAGGCAATGGGTTTGGTTCGTTTGGTTTTTCCTGACTGTCTGCCTCCATCTCAAGTAGTATCTGCCACTCCTTCATCTGCATCCCACAGTAGCCCGTGCAGTCTTCTTTTGCAGCACCTCCAACACCCATTCATTTAGGTAATTGACTGTCTTCATCAGACTGAGAGCTCTTTGAAAGGCAAGGACTATAACATTCATCTTTCTAACTCTGCACTTGGTACTCTTCCTAGCAAATAACTGGTGTTTCATAAATTTTTGTTGCTAAACAAAGTAGATTTTAAAATTACCAGTCCTTCTTTATTGTATTTGTTTCCAAACAAGGTCATGTTCACTGGTACCAGGGGCTAGGACTTCCACGTGAATTTTTAGAAGACACATTCAATCCATAACACTTACCAAACTGAAACTGCTGGTTGTCCATGAGGCGAATAGATGCAGGAGCACATCTCTATGTAAAAAAAGGAAAACAAATGTGATACATGTTTAAATTCAGTAGGAAGCTAGATAGGTAGAATATGAATATTATCTTTCTATATTTAAGAGATCAAAACCTCAGATCCTAAGGATATATACAAGAAAAGAATTTTAATTTTTTATACAATTTTATGAAGACAAATAGAACATCAGTGGCTATAAAATAGAGAAAAGAGATCTATATAGCATATTTTATGCAAATAATGTGCACCTTCTATGTTTGTCAACAGCATCTTCCCCCCCACCCCAAGGTATTTTCCTAAGTGCCTTATGCTAATTTTTTTTACAGCGAGATGTAAAAAAATTTGCATAGCTGTTTATGAAAGTACCTCGTCGGGGAGGGGCAAATGGCAAACAAACATAGAAGGCACATGTTATTTGTCTAAAAATATGGTACATAATACATATATACATGCATATACATAAGTTAACCAAATTTTTTATTTATCTGCAACAAGATCTGCTTTAATGCCTAACAAAGAGCTATGGAAGAAGCCTAAAAGAAATACCAGTCTTCAGAGTGGATTATTTTAGAACAAAGTAGAAATTTCTAAGACTTGTCAAAAACCTACATGCACAGAGAAACACCAAAAATTAGTGTAACAGAATATATTTATTATCAGGGGATCCGATTTGAATCAGGCCGTGTGAACCCGAATATATTGGGATGTTCATTTCTCAGGAGACATCATCAGAACTCCTACAGGGTTCCGAGGTCGGCTGGTTGTAGAAACAGTTACTAAGGACATGCTATGCATTTTCCAGTCAGACCTCAGGTTCCTGCTTCTAGAAACTGGCTCCACATAAATAATTCTCTAAAATAGCCCAATGCCTAAGGTAAAACTCTCTCCGTTAAACCGCTTACTAGGCTATGTTTGTTGTGAACTTGACTTTAGGAAAACAGTCCCTTAAAGCCTCAAAATTCAAAATGACACTTAAATGCAGATGGCCTGAGTGGGTCACCCCAACTCCATGGACCCAGAAATCTGGATTTTAGGAGTCTGTTTCTCAGACTATAATCAGTGCCTAGAACATTATGCCATTTATCAACTACACCGTGCCTGCAGATTGTCAGACACTTTTAAAAATGAGAAAGATGATGGCGAAAATTTTTGTGGGCCAAAGCATTTTAAAAAATTGTCTGCAATGTCATCGATAACTTTATGAATTGTTCCTTCTTTTTATCCATTCTCATAGTCCACTTTAAATAGAAAAATGATGCCGACAGTGTCCAGAATTTTAAGATCTTTCAAGGTTAGTTGTAGGAAAATAGCAAAGAAACTTGTGAAGCTTGAAGTTATGTATCTAAAAATGCACCTGTGCTATATTTGTCTAGGTATATCCTAAAAGCTGCAAGAAAAGAATAATGAAGGAAGCAGATGTTTATATTAATTTTGTGATGCAAAAACACTAGAATACAAACACTATCAAAGTTCGAGTTAACTACAATTGTTTCATAGAAGTAAAGAAAGCTGTACCCTACAAGGGATTTTTATGTTTCTATGCAAATTTTTAACATCTTTTAGACCCTAATATACATGGCTAAACATGCTTTTTGACTCTACCAGTTTGACAAATGACAAACTTTTTAGACATTTATCTTCTGAGTAATAACATTTATCCACAACATGGGTATCAATACAATGTTGAGACTCACTCAAAAAAACAAAAATTAATACACACCTCAACTAGGCATTGTAATATTTTGCTATTATTTGCTCTTCATTGAACAAATATTTAATTTTTATAAAAACACTCACAATACACATTTTATTTCACCCAGTAAACCAACAAAATGATTATTTACATTCTGATTTTGAATACTACACAGTTTATTTACTCACATTTCATACTAAAGGTGAGATTATTTAATCTATGTCTTAAAAGTTACTGCCAAGCCTAAAGAAACAATATTAGGTAATTTTCTATATACATCATAACAATAACCTATCACCTTATATCTTTAGGACCCTACTGTTTCCAAGCTGCTTTCATATGTCTTTATTTAATATAAGAAATAACCCTGTCAGAGCAGTAGAACAACTATTATCCCCATTTTACAGATGAGGACATAGAATCAAAGAGGCTAAAAGACTTCCTCGAAGTCAGATGCTTGTTACATAGTAAAACAGAACTAGGACCAAGATACCCTGACTGCTACAGATCAGCTCTATTACACAGCCTCCAAAAAAAAATCATTTAAAATATATATATACACACACACCCCACACACTGCTTTAAAGGCATATTTGAAAGAAAATCTAAATTAAAACAATCTTTTTGCTATTCTGTGGTTTTATTAAAACTACAATAGTTATAAAATAAAAATATACAACCTGAGTAATTTCAGATCGTGGTATAAAAGTATCTTTGTAACTTTACCAATTTCCAAAATACTAAAGGAAGATCAATTTTCTTCACATTTAGAAATCTGCAATTTTTTTAATAAAATGGGCACATCAACTTTCAGTAAAATATGGAAGCCCAATCAGATCAAGTTTCTTTTCTTCATATACATTTAACATACATATGTTGTATCTTAAGTACACCATTAAAAAATGAGAGAGAATTCTGAGCTATTGTTATTCTTCAAAAAAAACGTTTAGATTCGTACCAACAACTTGTATATTCCATCTCCTACTGCCACTCAGATTCTACTTCATCTGTATCTATCGGTGTTATTGATAAAAACAACCAATATAGGCACATATATCGGAAAATGCGAGAAAAATATACTAAATTTAATATAATAAGTTTCTCATGGAATTCAATCTCTAAACAACTAAAATACAATATTCAGGCCTTGGTTAAATCTTAGTTTGAAAACACTGCAAAATATATTTTGGGGACAACGAGGATAACCTGATTATAGAATGGATAATAGATGGCACTAAGAAATTACCGCTGATTTTCCTAGACATGATAATAGCACTGTGGTTATAAAGAAGAATACCTTTATTTTTAGGGTATGTATGCTTAAGTATTTAGAGGTCAAGTGCAATAATATCTGCAGCTTAATTTCAAATGGTCCAGGAAACACATAAACACACATATAAAACAATCAGAGCAAAAAATTAACAATTGTTGAATCTAGGAAGTGAATCTACAGGTGATCACTGAACTACTCTTTCAAATTTTTGGTATGCTTGAAATTTTCAAATTAGAAAAACAGGTTAAAAATCTTTAAGGCACCTGCTATATCATATGGCAACTTATCTTCAATTACATTGAATGTGATTTTAACTTGACAGCTGAGTTGCATAAACTAGTAACCCATTATTCCTATTTACACTGAAGAGACATAAATGACACAACAGACTTAATACAATTAAAAAAGAACTAAGAAGCTAAAGAAAAAAATTTTTGTTCTACATAATAAATATTAAATTAATTTTCAGTACTAAGTTTTTTAAAATTATCAAAATCAAATCAACAGCTTTATTAGAGTCTCATGCTTTAATAGTGCCATGTTTTTTAAAAGTCAGTAAATGGAGTTTCAGTTATTGGCATAAGTAAATTCTTATACATGAAGCATTCAAGTTAAAAAATACATCTAGATTGCTTTACATGACTCCCTGCCAAATGATAATTTGTAAATCACTGTGTTTCATTCTAAAAATACAAAGTAGGAAAAATTTCTTAGAATTCCAAATAATTAAGTCACCATTACTGTTAATTAAGCATAAGTTTCTATAATCGAAAGGCCAAAATGTTACTATCCTTAAACAACAATAACGACAACGTTCAACCTGAGTTACTAGATAAATAGTTATGATTAGGTTCCATTTCAATTGCTTTAAAACTAATTTGGTAGGCAATTGACTAATTTTAATTGCCATTTAAAGCTACGGGCAGCTCAAATTCTGAGAACGTTAGCACTAAATTTACTCCCATGCTACTCAATTATGCTAGGCTGAGAGTATTCGTTACAGGAAAACGGGGGAAAAAAGGTCCTTAAGTTAAAGTGACCCCTGCTGGTAGGTGATCAGAACTAACCTGAAAGGGAATGTCTTTTACAAGTAATTTCTACGGTGGGTTAATTATAAATTCAGAGAATTTAAGACACACTCAAATAAAAATTGCTTATTCACACTGGAGCTAATGAAATAATTTCTTTTCTATTATGATAAATGAGCCCTTACTAGAATCTTTCATGTCACCTAACCTGTACCTAGGTATATTTTATACTTGGTAATCTGATAATGTTATGAGAAACTTATTATGGACTAATAAAGATACAATAATATCTTTGTTTTATCTGAACAGAGAAGACATAAATAACCACATTTTCTTCTAAAGATGGGTATAAGATTTACTAAGTATATTTTCTGGCAATTTCATCACTTTAACAATGGTATGACCAGGAATTTACTTGAATATATAACCTGAAAAATAAAAATAACCACTCTGGTTAGTAGTCTTATTTATTTAGTAGTATTCTCTGCACTAACTTAAAAGGCAACAGATTTCTCAATCCAATAACTTTCCATCTAAAAAAGTTCCTATTAGAAACATAACAAAAGATTTTGTAAAACTTGTTTTTATTAAATTAAGTCATATCTCTTAAATTGTCACAGAGAAAACCAGAACTTCCACCTGAGATGAGACATATTATTTGAGATACTGTCTCTTAATTTGCTAGTTACTGACAAAAGGAATTCAATATTAATATCCATTTCCAATGTCTGAAGGATTTCTACTATTCTAATTTTATAAGGAAGATAAACTATAAAAGTATAAGACTGAATGGTATTCTATATCTCTGGTATCATGGGTAAGTAATAAATCATCTTTGAACTGAAAAGGTTTGGTTCTTCAAGGAATAAATCAAACTTTCTGTGCAGACTTTAGAGCACAGCCCAAATTCCTGAACTTAAAGACTACACTGGAGATAGTCTACTAATCTCATACTGCATCAGAAGCAAACGCTTCAATATCAAAACTTTTATGCAAAGGTTTGGCCATTCAAAAGGG